AAACTTTGTCAGTACCATTTTAATGCGTTTCCGGTAACCAAGCAATGAATAACCCTTAGAATAGATGGCTAAATAGTCCCTCCTGGGTGGTATGGGGGGTTACCCTTGTGGCAAATATGGTGTAGTAGGGCTGCAGTTTCCGCACGTTTGACGAACCCAGGACACGACATGACCACTAGACGTACGAACTTTTGTCAGTTTAGGGAACTTCACTCTAGTGTACGGGCCACAGTGAAGTTCAAGGCTGTCTATGACATGTAGGCAGACGGGGTGGGACTGCTCCAACTGTCCGGACATTTTCTCCAGCTATCTCTTATCTCTTTGGTTTCCATTCATAACAGGCATGAATCACTAAGTTTTGTTTGTTTGTGTAGTAGGAAATGGTGGCAAACACCACGACCCATCCGATGAGCTTTGTTATGGCCTCCAGCATGCCTTGCCTGTCCTGGCCACATCAACTGCCTTACACAACAACACCCATTTACTGTGAAAGAAATTCCCATCTGCTAGCAACATGAACACATTTATCCTGCTTCAAAAATCTCAGTATCCGTCAAAAAGTTGTTTATGGAAACTACCTCCTTTTTTATTACCTTCCTTTTATTAACTCGGGATGTAACTGTGTAATATTGATGCGCCTAAAATATGCAGCGATTTCTAGTCTCAAGTTACATACCTGATGACAGTACGAATGGCAACTATAATAGGGAGGTTCTAGTTTTTTAAACTATAATTTTTTTAATTTATCATGACTAGTATGTAAGAAGTAGAATAAATATGTATTATCTATATACATATATAAAAATATTGTGTTCGTATGTCACGGTCGTCAACACTCGAGAACGGCTGAACCGATTTCGACAATTTTTTTTTGTATTGTTCGAATGATATCGCAAAAAATTGGAGGGTTGCCACCTGTTTGAAATATTTTAAACCTAATTATGTTGATAAAATAAATGAATTATTACAATATGGGTATCAAATTAAATAGGTTTAAGAAAGATAACTGTTGGAAATATTTCTGATGAGGGTTGCCACCTATTTGAAAATTTTAACTCAGTCAAATTGATCAAATAAATGAAATGTTGCAATGTGGCTACAAAATTAAGTAGTTTTAAGAAAGATAACTGCTGGAAATGCCTTTGAGAAGGGTTGCCACCTATTTGAAAATTTTAACTCAGTTAAATTGATAAAGCAAACAAAAAAAATTGCCATGTGGGTGTAAACTAAAGAGTTTTAAGAAGGTTTACAGCCGAAAATATGTTTGAAGGGGGTTGCCACCTGTTTGAAAATTTAACTAAATTTAATTCATAAAATAAATGACATACTACAATATAGGTCTCAAATTAAAGGAGTTTGAGAAAGGTGGTTGTCGGAAATATTTTGGAGGAGGGCTGAAAATCTTAACTCAATTAAATTGATAAAATAAATGAAATATTGCCATGTGGTTATCAAACTAAAGAGTTTTAAGAAGGCTTACAGCCGTAACTATGTTTGAGGAGGGTTACCACCTGTTTGAAGATCTAACTAAGTTTAATTTATAAAATAAATCACATTACAATATAGGTATCAAATTAAAGAGGCTTAAGAAAGTTGAGGTAAAGGTACAACTTAAAGACGTTTAAAAAACATGACTGTTCGAAATATTTTTAAGGAGAGTTGCCACCTATTTGGATAATTTGAACTCAGTTAAATTAATTAAACAAATAAAATATTGCAATATGGGTATCAAACTAAAGAGCTTTAAGAAGACTTACGGTCAAAAATATGTTTGAATAGGTTTGTCACCTGTTTGAAAATAAAACTCCATTAAATTGATAAAATAAATTAAATGTTACAATATGAGTACCAAACGAAAAGTATTTAAGGAATCTTGATTTGGAAATACTCTCAATAGAATTATGCAATATATAAAAGTAAACTGAAAATATTTGAATTAAATTAAATATTACATAACTGATTCGAAACGGAAAGCGTTTGGGAAAGCTTTACAAGAGAAATTTTTTGTTAATGTTTTCACTTGTCCAAATCCGGATAGTTAAAATGAAGAGAGAGTTTACAACATCTTATCAAACGAAGTGATCATATTATCAACGAAGATTTGGTATACAAATTACGCACAGAAAAAAATTAATAAATAACAACTGATACAAATGAAAAAATTATAAACAGCGTAACGAAAACATAAAAATATCCCATGAAATGAAATAATGAAAACTTAAAATTTTTATCACCATTCCCTTACATTAACACAGTTAACAGTTAAATTTTAGGGCATTTACGATCGCATGATACAAGTGTTAACATAATAAGAGCTGCGTGTAATATCTGGCGTGTGCCGATGACATCGACATCATCGGTAACAAAAACTTCGAAGTCTGTTCTGCCTTTTCCAAGTTGGATAACGAACGACAACAACATCAAATAAACAGTCAGGGCATTCGCACCTTGGCACCCACGTCACTGTAGCCAGTTGTAATTTCGAGAAAGTAAAGAATTTCGTTTACTTGGGAACCTGCATTAACACCGATAATAATGTCAGCATATAAATCCAACTCAGAATTACTCTTGCCAAAAAGTGCAACTTTGGACCGAGTAGGCAATTCGGGAGTAAAGTTCTCTCTCGACGTACAAAAACCACACTCTATAAGTCACTCATCATTCCCGAGCGGGTTTATGGCGCAGAAGCATGGACAATGACAACATCCGATGAGACGGCTCTTGGGGTGTTTGAGAGAAAGATTTTGCGGAAGATTTACGGTCCTTTACGCGTTGGCGACGGCGAGTACCGCAGACGATGGAACGATGAGCTGTATGAGGTTTACAACGATATGGACATAGTGCAGCGAATTAAAATACAGCGGCACCGTTGGCTCGGACATGCCATTCGAATGGGAACCGACGTTCCAGGTCTGAAAGTATTCAACTCGCAATCCGCTGGTCGTACCAGAAAAAGAGGTGGCCACCACTGCAATGGACAGACCAAGTGGAGAAGGATTTGGCTTCACGTGGCATTTCCTATTGGCGTCAGTTGCCACAGAGATAAACGACTGACGTTCTTTGTCGAGCTCGGCCAAATGGCTTAGGCGGTTCCAGCGTCAAATAAGAAGGAGAAAATGATATCTGGGGACCTTATTCTTGGATACGCCTGGAGGAACTAGGAAAACATTCCTTATCAGATTGATTCGGGGGACGGTTCGTTCAAAAAATTACATAAGCTTAGCTAGGGCTCCGCCTGGAATTTCTGCGACATTGTTATTAGGTGAAATAATTGCTAATTCAGCAATCATACGTGCAATATTTCCAGAAGATCCGGTATGGAAAAAGTATTACGAAAATTTAAACTCATTGTTTGGGATGAGTGTACAATTTCACACAAAAAATTGCTTGAGGTTTTTGATCGATTGTCGCGAGATTTGCATGGAATGCGTTGAACCATTCGGGAATGCATTGATGTTGCTCTCAGGAGATTTAACGCAAACATTGCCTGTAATTTCTCGATTAACACTAGCGGGCGAGATAAATGCTTGCCTGAAATAGTCTACATTGTGGCAAAGGTGAAGAATTCCCATGATTCCGACCGATACAAAATTTCAATTTAAAAGATTGCAATTCCCAATTCGATTGGCATTCGGAATCGCAATCAATAATGCCCAAGGTCAACCTTTGGAAAAGTGTTGCATGTTCCCGTGTCGGCAAACCAGATATCCTTGATATCTATGCAGAGAATGGCAAAACGACAAATATTGTGTGCACACAAGTACTTATGTATTACAAAATCAAACTTATATGCGACGTATGCTTTGTTTCGTTAATCATTTATCATCTATGAACAGGAATATGCCACAGCAAAGCGTGGCAGGGTACAGCTAGTAGTAAATAAGAAATTATAGAATTAAATAAGTTTAAATTTGTATAAATAAGGAATGGCATAATTAATAAAGAGGAATATTAGATAAGGGCTCGACTGCGCCACAATACATTCTTGTCGTTTATTACACCATTCGCAACTTCTGTTGACTAGCTCTTGCCAGAAGTGATTTTCATTCACAGCGAAATATCATACGAGTAGGAAAATCACCAATCACTGATATTGTGGCCTAGCAGTAGCAGTCACTATAAGCGATTTTAAAGTCACAGTGATAAAATCACCGGTAGTGAAATATCGCTCATCACTATCTGGGTCGACTTTTACATCTTTCTATACCAAAATGACCATCATGAACATATTCAAGATTTTTTTGTAGCAACTGTTTGGGAACAAAAATTTATCCGTTCTTATAAACCAAGCCATTTATTTCGTGAAAATCATGTCGGAAATTCCAAAATTGCCTAACATCCTTAGGTACCTGCTTGATATGCTCGGGCCATCCCTCTTTAATAAATTTTTTGATAGTTTTTATTTGAGGGTCATGATTGGATTTGGATTTAATGAGGTTTAAAAGTGAATCGGATATTGCTGAACTACACTCAAACATACCCACGTGTATTTGAATGTGTTTATCAATTATGTCTTCTTCTTCACGATTTAAGGGTGCCCTCGACAAAGCGTCGGCAACTGCTAACTCTTTGCCAGGCCTATAACCAACATTTAAATTATAAGTCTAAAGAGATAGAAGCATTATCTGCAAACGCGGGGACTAACCTGAGCGACTCTTTAAACACCGGAATATAGCAATTTGTGAAATTGTGAAACTGCAAATACAATAGCATATAAGTAGTTCTTTCTCTATTTGTGTGTAGTTTTGATGAGTTTCAGGAAGGGGTTTTTGACCACAACGCAATTGGTTTATTTTCCTGAATCAAAACAGGGGGTCAATTCTCGTTCTGTGATAAGATGAAGTGAAAAAAAAGTTTTCATTTTCGTTTTCACAACTACTTTTCACTCTGCCTTTTCACAGACACTTATTTTGCGATTCTGGTTTGTGCTGTGAAAATCGTGTTCATTACCACTATAGTCGTGAAACTTTTGCAACTGTGCTATTGAATTTTCGAAGTAAATGTCAAAGTTGAGGAAAACGTAAACAAAATATGTCGGGAATAATTATTTTATTAGAATTATCGCAAAGAATTCGAGACGAGCAAAGGTAATAAAGGTGTAAATTTTTTAAATATTTCAGAGATAATTTGAGAGTGCTCCGGCGCAGACTTCGCGACGACCAAAATCCCTTTGAGATTACAACAGACGAGCATTTCATTGATTTATATCGGTTCCCTAAAGCTTTGTGCCTGGAATTAATTAATGAATGAATGCCATTTATGCCGAACTCGCAACGGAGACATGCTGTTCCGAGTCATGTAATTATTTTAAGCGCCCTGCGTTTGTTTGCCACTGGTAGCTTTCAAAGAAGTGTGGGGCAAGACAGTTTATCTGCTTTATCCCAAACATCAGTTAGCAGATGTGTGCAAGTGGTGGCAACTGCACTTAATAACATAGCCCACAGACATATAAAGTTCCCAAAACGCGAAGACTTCCCGGCGCTCAAAATAAAATTCATGGAAAAATACCAATTTCCTGGAATAATCGGACTCATAGACGGAACGCACATCAAAATATCAGCCCCGAAGAAAGAAATTGAGCATGTTTACTATTGCCGAAAGGGTGGGCACTCCAAGAACGTTATGATAATATGTGATGCTGATTATATCGTTTTGTCTGCTAGCGCTCGGTTCGGAGGTACTGCTCATGACTCATATGTATGGCGTCGCTCTCGAGCTTGCAGAGCTCTGGAGGAGCTTTATGAGGCGGGTGAGCGCGATTTTTGGCTTCTGGGTGATAGTGGCTACCCACTACAGGTACAATTTATATTATTTTTTTTTTTGGTAAAGATCTAATGCTAATATAAATTTTAAATTAGCCTTGGCTGATGACACCAATTAGTGCGACATCATGTACCGCAGAAGAGCGCTACAATATAGCACACAAGTCAACTCGAGCTCTTGTAGAAAGATGCATTGGCTTACTAAAAAGCAGATTTCGCTGTCTGTCGAAGGAATGAGCCCTTTTCTACAGTCCACCAAAAGCAGGCCTCATAATCAACGCTTGCCTGGTTTTACACAACTACTTGATTCGGGCTAGAGTGCCGTTCGATGAAATTTATTTGGAAGACTCTGATGAACCTGAAGAATGTGGTGGCCCTTCTTCAGCTATTTCAACACATAATATATTATCCATTGCGAAAAGACAACGATTGCAAATTGTTCAAAATGCTTTTACTAATAACATTCAAAATTAGATTGAAAATAATTCAACTTTTTATTTTACATTCGTATTTTTACTTATTTACATATATTAATAAATATGCATATGTATATCATATTTCAAATGTTAAATTCTTTTTAAAGGCAGTTTTTATCACAAAACGTTTTGTTCATAAATTCATTGCAATGAGGACCTCATATTTTCTTAAAGACTAAAAAATAACAAAAAAAATCGAATTCTTTCTTATTCGATATCTCATATTAGGCTCCAGAAAAAATATAAAAATACACACATAGATTGCTATATTTCCAAGATAAGTATTTTTAAATGCAGTTTTTATCACAAGTAAGTTTTGTACATAAATTCATTAAACAGAGAAATTCATATATTTTTAAAAGCTAAAAAAAAATCTTATTTTCATAGACTCTAGAAAAATTAAAAATAGAATCGACTCCATATTTTCCTAAACTCTAAAAAAGTTTAAAAGTAAAAACGACTTCATGTTTTCTTAAATTCTAAATATTAAAAGTAAAACCGACTTCATATTTTCTTAAACTCTAAAAATACTAAGAATAAAAAGGACTTCAAGTTTTCTTAGGCATTAGGAAAAGGTATAATAAAAATTGTCTAACACTTATGGACAAGGCTGTTTCTAAAATTAAAACATTCTCACGGCCGCCTCAAAATTTCAATTAAATGTTGTAGTTTTTCTACAATACATTCTTTCATTTGCGTGCCCACTAATATTGCCTCTGTCTGCACCTTCACCGCTTGGATCTGTTCGCGTTTTAAATTATTGGCGATCTCCATTTCCCTTACCTTGATTTCCTCTAGCCTAAACAATTTTTCTAACTGAGGGTTTTCTGCTTGCGCCTTTCTTTTTCGCCCTCTCGAACGGGCTGCTGCTGTGCTGCCTCTTATTGCTGCAGCAGTTGAGGTGCTCGCCCCCATCATTGGACACGTAGTTGCATCTTCCAATGTGGTTGCGGCTGCAGTACCATCTAAGTCGCATTCTGCCACAACAACTTCGAATGTCTCCTCCACAATGTCAGCGAGATTGTGAGAAGCTTCTGCCATGTCGAGTGCTTCAAAGCCCACTTCGCCCGTTTCATCACCATCGACTGCTTGCACAGTTGTAATCTTAATTATGCGCTCTTCCAGCGGTGACAGTGCTTTGGCCCGGCTCAAACCGTTTATACCACTTCTCTGCTCTGCCTGCCTTATCGCACTATATTTTGTGCGAGTATGAAGTCTGTTTGTAGGTATTAAAACAAAAGATTAAAAAAATAATCACATCATTGTCGAAGACATGGATGATGATGAATAATTAGCTAACCTTTATCTTATAAATATATTTGAAATGTAATAGAATTACTTATAATGAATTTACATGAAGAATTAGTCACCCTTTACTTTATATACATATTTGAAATGTAATAGAATTACTTAATTCGAAACTGAACATACTCACTATCCTTATATATATATATATGTTTAAAATTGTACTAGAATTCCTTTTGAACGTACTGAATTGTCAAATATGTACTTTTTCCGAATGTGAGCTCTCGGCACCCGTACACCGGTATGGGGGCACTCGCAATCGAATCGTCGACTAGACCAGTTTATTAAATTCAATTTAACCTACAGTCCACTATATTTTCCCATTTTTGAATAAACTCGGAATAATTTGTATTACCCTAAAATTTGCTTTACTTATTCAATTAAATATACTCAAACACACCCTTTTACGTTGCTAAAGAGCAACATATGGTCCTTCGACCAATACTTCTTCCATTTTGCACCATCCTTTTGAGTTCCGCCAAGAGCATTGAGGCTCACCGCTAGTTCTTTCCACTTTTCTTCGCGAAATTTGCCACCATCTGCCGTCACAAATCTATAATTATAAATAATTGGTATTCGTTTGTTTATGTTAAAAAGGCTTCATACTTATCGTTTGCAATGTCTACATTGTCTTCTAGATAATTTATTAAAAACTCTTTTTGGTTTTCGCTGGCGCGCTTTCCTCTTGGTATCTTCTCCATCTTGTTTTCACGTATAAATAGGCTGTGTAAAATTTTTTTACATATGATAAGTTTTTGACAGTTGGTTGCACTGTTTCACAGAACGAGAATCGTCAGGGTTGTGAAAAAGTGAAAAGTTTCGTTTCGTTCCACTTTTTTTTTCATGTGAAAACACTTTGACGTTTCTTTTCATTTTTTTCACTGAAAGCGAATCGGAAGTGCAATGAAAACGCGAAAAAAGTTTTCATTTCACCGTTTCACAGAACGAGAATTGACCCCCAGCTCCTACGGCAAATTGTGACGAATCACACGATATTATGATATCTTTTTTAGGATCAAAAATGCTAAACACGACGGACTTACGACTGACATTTTTAGGCCTTGAAACGCTTTCTCATAGGTGTCGTTTCATTCGAATAACACATTCTTTTTTACTGTTGTAATGGCATTGACTTCTCAGATAAATTTGGAATAAAAGTACGAAAATAATTTACTAAACCTTGAAATCGTTGGACGTCTTTCACGCTTCTAGGTGTTAGCATGTGAACAATTGTCTACAATTTTTGGGGGTCTGATTTTATACCTTTGGCACTAAAAATATGACAAAAAAACTTAACTTGTGAATGACGTACGTGACATTTTTCTCGTTTAGTTTTATGGTGGCTAACTTACACCTTTCTAAAACCATTTGAAATTTTTTGTTGTGATCCTCAATCGTTTTACCATACACTAGAATGTCTTCTATATATGTAATGGCGTCACAGTCGGAAAAAATTTCTAACATTTCCCTCTGCAAAATCTCATACATAACTCCATATGACATTCTTTTAAATCTGTAGCTGCCGAATTGCGTTTGAAACGTGCACAGATATGAGCTATGCTCGTCCAATTTTAGCATCCGAAAGCCATTACTTGCACCTAGGGTAGAGAAATATATACCATCTATTAATTTGGACTTTCACGTTTTAAAATTTATTCAGGTTTCTTGGATCAAGACACACGCGCGGGATTTGTTTGGTTATGATATGGTGACCTTCTCAATGACTTCTGCAGCCTCCATCTTGGACAACTCATTTTTCAAACTATCTTGTAAGTTACAGGGCAATTTTCTATGACTGGCGTATTATTTATTTATTTATTATTTATTTTCACTTAATTTTAAACTGATCGGTTTTCTATTTATACAGGGTGTCCCAGAAGTAACGTGCCAAACTTTAGGGGAAGGTAGGTGGGGGGGTGAGCTCCCTGATAAACAAAAAATTTTCAGGTAAAAGTGTCACCGTTTTTGAAATATTTACATTTTTTCGAATTTAAAAAAAATCGTGCCTTTTCATGTGTTTTCTTTAACTGCAACTACAAACCGGGCAATACTTAGTGAATTTTTTATGTAAAATACTTCCAGATAGTTGCCTCTCCATACTCAAATGCAATGTAGTTAAAATATATTAAGGAACCATCATAAAATTAGGACTATTTCTGGATTTTTAACTTTTTGATATGTTCTTCCCCAACTTTGACTATCTCGGGTGAAAAAAAAAATGTACTGAGCGATAACTTTGCATTACATAAAAAAATTGCACATTTCATAAAGATTTCAGAAAGGTGCCACACTTACTGTTTTGAATAGAAAAAAAAGTTATAGCCGCTGTTGTGGGTAAAGGACTGAGACACGCTAGAATGTATTTAATAGATTTAAATTGAATTTGCTCTTGTTACCGTCAAATGACATGCTAAATAGTACAAAGGTACATTATTACCTGCTCCTGACATTATTTTGTGTTACTTACCGGAATTAGTGAAAGTGGATTTTGTGAAATTGGACCCTTCGAACATTGTGTTATTAATACTATGACAGAGAACACGCAGTATACGTCGCATAAATATGCGGATATTCACCTAATTTACGGTGAAGCTTGCTGTAATGCCAGAGCTGCTCAAAGACTCTATGCAGAGCGATACCCCAATCGTCGACATCCGGGTCGTGAAGTATTCGCCCGGACCCATAGAGAAATATATAAAGGTAAGTGATCCTTTCTTGTTTGCTTGCTTGTTAACTATCATTTTTTACTTTTTTAAGGTCGCATACCTGGAAGGCGTGGCGGCGAAACAGGACGTCCTGCAACGGTAGATGTTGAAGCTGTGTTAGAGGAAGTGGAACTAGGTCCATCGACTTCAGTGAGAATGATGGAAAGACGGACGGGAATACCAAAAACTACAGTTCACAAAGCTTTAAAAGACCATCGATTTCATCCCTACCACATTCAACGTGTTCAGGCTCTACAGGAAAGAGATTACATGTCGAGGGTTAGATTTTGCCGTGAAATGTTGCGATTGCATGCATCAGACCCCAAATTTTTTAATAAAATAATTTGGAGCGATGAATCATCATGCAAACGTGATGGTTATTTTAATTTTCATAGCCTTCACAGTTGGCAGATAGACAATCCTCACGAAATGAGAGAAGATCATTCGCAGTACCGGTACAAAATAAATTTATGGTGCGGTATTTTTAATTGTCAGATATTGAGACCTGTGGAACTGCCGCCAACGCTCAACTCTCACAGTTATTTAGAGTTCCTTCAGGAACGGCTTCCAACTCTTTTGGAAGGTGTACCCTTAAACCTGCGGCGAAGACTATGGCTGCCAAATTGACGGGTGCCCTGCTCACTACATGCGTGAAGTAAGAGCTCATTTAGACGAAACTTATCCTCGCCGATGGATTGGACGATACGGGCCAATCACGTAGCCCGCACGTAGCCCGCTCATCGCCAGACCTCAATCCATTAGATTTTTTCTACTGGGGCTGTCTTAAGGACAAAATTTATTCAAAAACAATTCAAAACGAAGAGCATTTGCGGGAACAAATAAATGGAGCTGCTGCTGAGATAGCCCAATTGAGTTTAAGATCTCTAAAAGCGTCTTTTCTTAAAAGGTGCCGAGCTTGTATTAGAGTAGAAGGTCGCCAATTTGAGCATATTTTATCAATAAATGAATAAATTTCTCTTCAAACGACTCATGTATATTTTATTTCACGTGAATCCATGCTTCACAAAAAATAGACTCTAGTCCGAATTCCGG